CACTGTCGCGGCACACCTGCAAGTTGTTCACGGAACACCAGTGTTCTGCAGAACATAGTTTAAGAAACGAAAGTGTCCGTCTGCTATGTACATTGGACAAATGTCTCAGACACTTTGCCAAAGGATCAATGCCCACAAAACAGATATCAGACAGGATCACAAAGAAAAAACAGTTTCTTGACATTTCAACCAGAAAGGACACTGTCTCAACGACTTAACTACCTGCATCCTGCTACAAAGACCTTTTAAATCTGCACTTGAAAGGGAATCCTCTGAACTGTCATTCATGCTAAAATTCGACACTTTACATCTGAGTCTAAACAAAGGATCTAGTTATCTTACCCATTACAAAGATAGTTTCCCTAATTATCACCTCTAATATCATTAGCCCACAGACATTCACCTCCCCCTCCCCATCCCCCTTCTGTTCTGAAATTTGATTCGTCCTTTTCATATGTGTTCATTTTTTTAAATTGTATCCTTTGGTATATATGGTTGTGACTATTTTCTTCCACTATTTTATCTGAGGAAGTGGGTCTGGCCCATGATAGCTCATCACCTAATAAACCATCTTGTTAGTCTTTAAAGTGCTACATTGTCCTGTATTTTGCTTCAGCTACACCAGACTAACACAACTACATTTCTATTACGGATCTAGACAGTACTGGGTCCTGCCATGAGGGCAGGGGACTGGACTCGATGACCTCTCGAGGTCCCTTCCAGTCCTAGTATTCTATCACTTGCAATCTCAGAGAAAAGAAAATGACTGATAACGAAATTTTCCTCTCTTACTCAGGACATGCCCACTGACCTGGCACCTGGCAAAGAAAATTCAGGAAGGAAGGAAGATCACACTGATAGGGCTTAATACTGGTCTTGCCTCTGCACAGGAGCGAGTCCAGTCACTCACCGGAGCACGGAGCTTACATCTCCGGAAGGCTGCATGTGATGGAGCCAAATTACCACCATGCAGGCGGTGGCCACCTGAGTGTAGCTCACAAGGTTCCCACCTGCCCAATTCTCTGCCTTGTAAGATTCCAAGAAAGCAGCTGCTGAGCATCAAGCTGTGAAATCTTTGAATATTTGTCCCCTCCAACTTGTGACAGCAGACGGGGGTTTGGTTTGCTCAATGCTCTGGTCCAATTCAGGTAGATCGTCGAGGCTGCCGTTTATTCCAGGTTTTCTCTTCACTTGTGTTGGCAGGGAGTAGAAAGAAGGAAAGGAGAACAATTCTCTGATTCAAGGAGCTCACTTTTGATGGGCAGGGGAAGAGATATCCTCAATGCTGCTATGTCTGAATGAAAAGTGCAGAATTGCGTTGTGATAGATAGTGCACCCAGCCCAGAAATTCTCCGTGCTCAAGTAGCTACTAGGATAAAACCATTCATAAAGACCAGGGCGAGGGGTGAGGGAATCTCTCTTTCTGGATTAGTTTCTGTTCCTGAAAGAGAAGCTCTAGAGCTTCACAGAGCTCTTCTTCAGGTCTGGGAAAGGTAAGCCAAGTGTCACAGCTAAACACAAGGCGAGACCCATTGTTTCACAAAGTTTGTTGAGGAAATTTGTTGAGGTAAAGTCAACATGGTTCCTGTAAAGGGCAATCATGCCTTACTAATCTACTAGAGTTCTCTAAGGGGTCAACAAACATGTGGACAAAGGAGATCCAGTGGACATAATGTGCTTAGATTTCCACAAAGCCTTTGACAAGTCCCTCATCAAAGGCTCTTAAGTAAAGTAAGCTGTCATGGGATAAGAAGGAAGTTCCTCTAATGGATTGATAAATGGTTAAAAGACAGGAAACAAAGTGTAGGAATAAATGGTCAGTTTTCAAAATGGAGAGAAATAACTCGTGGTGTCCCCCAAGGGTCCGTATTATAAATGATCTGGAGAAAGGGGGTAAACAGTGAGGTTGCAAAATTTGCAAATGATACTAAACTGCTCAAGATCATTAAGACCAAAGAGACTGTGAAGAGTGTCAAACAGATCTCACAAAACGAAGTGATTGGGTGACAAAATGGCAAAATAAATGTAATGTTGATAAATGTAAAGTAATGCACATTGGAAAAAATAATCGCAACTATACAGCCTCTTCCCGACTTACGAACTGGTTACGGACCAAGCAATTTGTCCTAACTCGGTTCGTTCATAAGTCGGACCCCATAGAGTTACACGCGACCGTGCTGTTCGTAAACGCAGATTGTGTTCGTAACTCTGGGTCCGCCATGTATGACAGCTTTGGTCGTAACTGCGAATGGTCGTAAGTCAACCGTTTGCAACTCGGGGACCGGCTGTACATATAAAATGATGGGGATAAACTTAGCTATAACTACTCAAGAGAGAGATCTTGGAGTCAGTGTGGATAGTTCTCTGAATACTTCCACTCAATGTGCACAGCAGTCCAAAAAGCAAACAGAATGTTAGGAATCATTAAAAAAGGGACAGAGAATAAGATAGAGAATATCTTATTGCCTCTATATAAATCCATGGTATGCCCACATCTGGAATACTGGGCACAGATGTGGTCGCCTCATCTCAAAAAAGATAGACTGGCATTGGAATAGGTTAAAAAAAGAGCAACAAAAATGATTAGGGATTTGGAATGGGTGCCATTTGAAGAGAGATTAAAAAGACTTGGACTACTCATCTTAGAAAAGAGGAGAGTAAGGGGGGGATACGATAGAGGTCTGTAAAATCATGACTGGTGTGGAAAAAGTGAATGTTATTTACTTGTTCCCATAACATAAGGACTAGGGGTCAATAAATTAAATTAATAGGTAGCAGGTTTTAAACAAACAAAAGGAAGTTTTTCTTTACATAGCACACAGTCAACCTGTGGAACTCCTTGCCAAAGGATGTTGTGAAGACCAGGACTTTAACAGGGTTCCAGAAAGAACTAGATACATTCATGGAGGCTAGGTCCATCAATGGCTATTAGCTGGGATGGGTAGAAATGGTGTCCCTAGCCTCTGTTTGTCAGAGGCTGGGACTGGATGGCAAAGGAGGGCCCACTTGATGATTACTTGTTCTGTTCAATCCCTGTGGGGCATCTGAGATGGCCACTGTCGGCAGACAGGATACTGAGCTAGATGGACCTTTGGTCTGACCCAGTCTGGCCGTTCTTATGTTATGAGGCTAGCAATACTTGTCAGGTCCCTGGGCAAAGTGTGTGTGTGTGTGTGTGTGTGTGTGTGTGTGTGTGTGGGGGGGCAGGATTAGGACAACCAGGGCTGGGACAAGCAGTCCTTAGCGCAGCCCAGATGCACCGCACCATAGCCTCCCTCTCCTCTCTGACAGTCCTCCAATCTCCCGGAGCAGACCACCCAGCGCTCCAGCGGGGATTTAAAAGCGCCTGGGCTTCCAGCCACTGTTGCTGTGGCAGTGGCAGCCTGCATAAGGGGTTAACACATGATGCAAGTAACCAATTCAAATGAAGTGGGCAATTAGCACTTCTTTTGTCAGAGGACAAAGGAGGATTAGGAGGTTAGGAAGTGTAGTAATGAGTCATAAAACCAAGGATCTGTTCCTCTGTTGCACAGGACCATTTTCAGCATCTAGCAGAGGTTGTGAATGTGCGTTCCCAAGGTCCCTGAAAGCTATTCCTAAATGGGTTAGTGCCCGTGCTCTGGCTTTCCGAGACCAGGGATGTACGTGCAGTTGGCAGCTCCTCGCACTCCTGCTCAGAGCCTTCCGTCATTCCAAGCAGGATGCTTCTCTCTGAGCCTCTCCCTAAGGTCCTTGCGCCATGTGAGTGCGGCTCCTGAAGCACATGGAGACCAGGCAAGAGGCTTCCAGGAAACCTCAGGCCACCCTACGCAGTAGCTTCATCTCAGTAAGGCCTCAGCTCTGTGCGGAGTTTGAGTGCTTGGGAAGAGACATCTGTGCATAACCCTCGCCCCGAGTAAGCTTGGAGTGGACTCCCTCTCCTTTCTCCTCCGGGCCTACAGCGAGATTAGTTCCATTTCACCAAGGAGTCAAAAAAAACAGAAAGGAAAATGTCCTTCTACGGACCCTGAAGCTAGTTCTGTGGGGGCGAAACACCGGGTCAGGAGCGCTACCTCACACCCTGCTCCAGAGGTCTGAGGAAGGCACTGAATGTAGAGTAACCTCGGAACGGGGGGAAGGGTGAGAGGAAGGGAGAAGTTTGCTGCGGCCTATGGCACAGATGACACAGACAGAACAGGGTGGCTCAGGCCCACTGACAGGGGGCAAAAAGGGGGCATTCAGGCCCACTGGCAGCATTCAGCCCCACCCTTTCCACCCAAGGACTCACCCTTTATGGGAGCACGGAGCTGGCCCCACACACACCTTGCCCAGATGCCCAGCAATTCTGCTGGACCCTTGGGATATTGTAACACTTATCTCCCACTCTCTTTGCCTGGTTCTCCCTTTGCCTGCAGGTTTCCCCTTGCTGCTTTGAGTGTCTTGCTGAGCCTCTGCAGTAAAGAACCAAGATAGCAGATCCAAAAGCGCCTGCGTCATCATTCCACCCCATTCCTGAGACCTCATGACTCTGCCGGCCTCCTCCCATGGGGCGATGGTGGGGATCCAAGGGAAGAGCACAAATGTTTCTTCTCATACCGCGCAGGCTAAGCGTCTTGCCCTTAACCAATAAACACCCTTTACAGTAGTGTAAACAGGCCTCCGAGACAGTGTAAACGTAGCCTGCGTCCATTTTAAGGATCCTTTACACAGCTGGTGCAGCATGAGAAGGCTCTTGTGTAAAACAGAGTCAGGCTCACAGGCAGCTAAGACAAGTTACAGTCCCGCACTACAGCCACCACTGGAGAAAGGCAGGCCTGGGGCTACAGTCGCATCCCTCTCTGCTGACTACAGAAAAGAGGCCTAAGCCATTCATCCGTGGCACTGCCACGTGGAAAATGAATAGCACACAACAAAGTAGCAAGAAAACCAAAGACATCACTTGAGTGTGTCATTAGCATCCGATAGTCACCTCAGCCACACGTGAAACGCACTATTCGGTGCCACGCACGGAGGATACTTACTGCAGAACTTGTGAAAATCCATTTGCAGTTCTTTCCTCGTGTTCATAAAGATTCTCCCCTTCTCTGTCCCGACCACGTAGGTACTTTCATCATGAACGGCAATGCAGGCTACCTCGGCATTTAGTTTGGAAAGTGCAGAACACTGGGGAGGTAGGAAACGTCGCTGGGTTAGAAAAGGCAAAATGTAAAGCATCTCGTGCTTTCACATTGTCATCTATCAATGTAGTGTGTGTTTGCCGAGTTGTTTCTATTCCATATATTCACTGGAAATAGCTCTGGACTTTACTTTTTCCAAAAGTCAAGACAGTCTCCTTGTATATTTAATCAAAACAGAAATTACAGGCTATTAGGGTCCAAAGTTCCCTCTAATTTTTCCATCCATGTGCGGAATACATTTTGTTATATGCACCACAGTGTGTGTGGATGTGCACCACCACCAGAAGAAACACATGCTGCCGGCTGTGGGTGGTCTGCTAATCAGTTGGGCAGCATCTGAATCTCTGCTGGGTGACAAAGTGCTCAGTTTACAGGGAACACTGGTAGGGTCCCTTATCCACCCATTGTTCCTGTCAATGTGTTTCCAATGTGGTTATCATCTGAATCCTTGTGGCACATAAAAACCTCATTTGAGAGCAGAATGATGCTGCATAAATCCATAACAACAGCTGCCTCCTGCCCCAAAGAGCTTATTATCTAAACAGACAAAGAGTGGACATTTTATTATCCTCATTTGTGTATGGGGAACCGGGAACAAGAAAGACTAAGTGACTTGCTCAAGGTCATGCAGGCTATTTTGTGGCAGGGCCAGACACCGAGCCCTCCTCTTCCAAGTTCTCTCTCCAACACCAGCCTCTCTCTCTTGGACTTCTAAGTGACTCGAATGGAGGGGTTCCTGCCACTTCCTTCCAGACACTCATTGCACATGCACAGCTCACAACCCAAGCCCCAGTAGATTTCAAGTGGCCCAGGAGACTGGTTTCCCAGTTTATCAGACCAGTCCTGTTCAGTTACCTAGAAATATTTGTTAGAACAAAAATTTAAAAACCCTGCTAAAAGGCAGCACTAAGGATATTAAGTATCGGGTTTTTGCATCGACTATTCGATTAGTCGATAGGGTGCCTCTGCCTTTGAAGTGCAGCCAAACGCTGTTGCTGCACTTCAAAGGCGAAAGCGCGGAATCAGCTGGGGACTCCCCCAATGACCCCAGGCTCTATGTAGTGCTGCCGCTTTGAAGTACCCCTCTCTCCCCCACCCCCCGCTGTCTCTATCAGACAGAGGTAGCAAAGAGAGGTGGGAAGAGGCAGGGGCATCAAAGCAACATTTCACATCCCTAGGCCGCACAAACAATTTCCCATGCGGACTTGCCTTCCTCTGCACCGTATTCCTCTTTGGAATGCTGGGGTCCTCCTCTCCATGGCCCCTTGGAAATCACTGCCCCTTCTTGCTACACAGCTCTGGTGCAGAGTATGCACCTACCAGGAATGGCACAATCTGTATGTGCGCATGGGAGACACATCGAGTGCTTTTCGGCCTCTAGTCAGCTCCTGTAATAGTCCCCGTATGCTCTTACACCCCATCTCCAAAGGGAGTCCCCCCATCTCTGATTATTACAATCAGGTTTACACCCAATAGGAGAAGCGAAGAGGCCCCGACACGCTGGAGAGAGACCCTCCTCGTTTTGCCATTCAGGACCAAAGGTAGAGTTAAGGGGATAAAACACAATCCCCACTGGACTTGAAGGAGTTTCCACTAGGGACTGCTCTTGATCTTGGGAGCCTTACATCTTACACTGACAACGGCTGGGCAGGGCAGGGCGGGGGCGGGGGGAGTGTCAAGGTTGGCTTTTTATAGCATGACAGCTTGATTGCTTTACCACTGCCTTATCCTACTCCTTCCCTCCCCACCGTGCATCGCAGCATAAACCACCCTGGAAACTCTCCGGGCCGAGGGCTATCTTTTACTGAGCATCCGTACAGCACCTAATACCACGGCCCTGACCTTCCCCTGGCATTCCTAGGCAGGATAGCAACACAAAGAATGGATGGGTTGCCCATTTTTCCTTCCTCCTCAGCATTTATGCTACACAAATTTAGACTCCCTGGGGTTTTGTCTACACTCAGCAGTTTGAAGCACGGCCGTGGCATGAGGAGCAGTCGGGTTCACACTAGGGCAGAGGTGAACCACGGGCGGCCCATTGGGCTCTAGGGGTCGCCCATGAGATGATTTGTTTACTGTTGCCCATGCAGAGGGTTGCCACATTCTGCTAGTTTCCATCCGCAGAGGTTTCTCCCCTGTCTGCGTGACTATAGGGACAAGCACATAAAACCAGGGCACGGGAAGGGAGGTGCGAGCTGATTGCTCACCACCAGGAGCGGCCTGAGGCCGGCTGCGGCAGCTGGCGCCCCCCCCGCACGGCCGTCAATGGCTGTGACGTCATCATCGGGCGCCTAGGCTCACAGGCCACCCCTGTCAAGTATTACATAAATTTAAGGAGGAACAATACACACTGACCATAACGGCCGTGCACTCCCTCTGCACCCAATTCCAGTGCTGCTGCGGTTTCATCGGCACGCCCGCACATTGGAATCAGAGAATCTTAGCGCTGGAAGAGACCTCAGGAGGTCATCAAATCCAGCCCCCTGCCCAAGGCAGGACCAACGCCAACTAAATCAACCCAGCCAGGGCTTTGTTAAACTGGGAATTAAAAACCTCTAGGGATGGAGATTCCACCACCTCCCTAGGTAACCCATCCCAGTGCTTCCCCACCTCCCTAGTGAAATAGTTTTTCCTAATATCCAACCTAGACCTCCCCCACTGTAACTTGAGCCCATTGCTTCTTGTTCTGCATCTGTCACTAGTGAGAACAGCCTCTCTCCATCCTCTTTGGAACCTCCCTTCAGGAAGCTGAAGGCTGCTATCAAATCCCCCCTCACTCGCTTCTGCAGACTAAACAAACCCAAATCCCTCAGTCTCTCCTCATAGGCCATGTGCTCCAGCCCCCTAATCATTTTGGTTGCCCTCCACTGGACCCTCTCCAATACGTCCACATCCTTTTTGTAGTGGAGAGGCCCAAAACTGGATACAATACTCCATATGTGGCCTCCCCAGAGCTGAATAAAGGGGAATAATCACATCTCTGGATCTGCTGGCAATGCTCCTCCTAATGCAACCTAATATGCCATTAGCCTTCTTGGCTACAAGGGCACACTGTTGACTCATATCCAGCTTCTCATCCAGTGTAATCCCCAGGTCCTTTTCTGCCAAACTGCTACTTAGCCAGTCGGTTCCCAGCCTGTACCAATGCTCGGGATTCTTCCGTCCCAAGTGCAGGACTCTGCACTTGTCCTTGTCGAACATCATCAGATTTCTTTTGGCCCAATCCTCTAATCTGTCTAGGTCACTCTGGACCCTATCCCTGCCCTCCTGCGTATCTGCCTCTACATTCTAGGTACGCCAGAACAGTTAGCAAAACGGTCTCAGGAGACTGTCCTGGTTACTCCTATCTTGCAGCCCATGGAGATGAAGGAGGGCCATGCTTGCAGGCCACTCCCTAGCCTAGATTTCCCCTCAGTGCACTAGCGCTTTACAGCTCTGTAACTTGCCGCCCTCGGGGTGAGAGGGAGCCAGAAAGTTACAGTGCTGTAAGCCTCCTAACACACCCTCTCTGAATTTGTCCCAAGGCTAGGGAATTTTTTAGGGTTGAGAATTGACATGTTAAGTGGCTGGAAGACAGGGCTGTAGTAGGAAAAGCAGCTAGAAGGAAGCTAAACCTTCGTCCGGCTCCTCAGCATGTAATTATAAGAGCTTAGAGGCTCTGAGCCTCAACAAGAGTTTTGTACACATAGTCATGAAGCTGCTTTTCCACGTGTAACATATATTGCCTTCTACATCGCCTCTGGACTTGGTCCTCGAAAAGTGGCTGGATCCCAAGTAATGGGAACAAATTCCTTTTGAGGGGGCAACAAGAAAGTGATAAGATAATGATTTATCTTTGGTAAACTAGAAAAAGTTTAGCTGGAAAAATTTCCTTCCAAGACACCAGTCAGGGATGATTGACCAGGAGTGGGCAATCATTTTTGATGGAGGGCCACTCCCCAGGTTTTAGAAAGTGGTCGAGGTTAAGTGGTATTAATGGAGGAGGCGCAGGGTCTGGGATGGAAGGGAGCTTGGGGTAAAGGATTAGGGTGCAGGAGGAAGAATGGGGTCTCGGAGGGAATTTGAGTGAAGGAGGTAGTTGTGACCTAGGGCAGGGAACTGGGGTGCAGGGTTTTGGGATGTGACCTAGGTAGGAGGAGATTGTGATCTCAAGCAGGAGATTGGGGTGCCAGATCTAAGAGGAGGTATGGGGGCATGTGGAGTAGCGGGGCAGGAGAGTGGGGCAGAGGGTTAGGGAAGGGAGGAGCTGAGGTGCCAGAGGCAGGCTCTTGCCAGGAGACTTATCAGCTTGCCTGCATAGCTAAAGGCTTAAAGAGCTTAAAATGGTTCTGCCTGCTCAGCCATGTGCTTGAGTGAGTGAGCTGGAGGGTTGTGCTTTGTGGCTGCTTGTTATTCAAACAGGCAGCTCCCATTGGCCAGTATCTGTCCAGAACCCAGCCAATGGGATTGTGCTGGGGGCGGGAGCAGTGTCTGAATCTTCCCCCCTCTCCTCTGGACTCAAAGAGAAAGCATCTTGCAGCCATGTTTCTGAGTGGTGTGCGGGGCTGGGGGGCAAGCAGGGGAGCCTGCCTGGAGCTCCCCATTGCCTCCGCAGGCCAGATCCAGTGGCTTGGTGGCCCAGATTTTGCCTAGGCCTGATCTAGATGGTGCTTGGTCCTGCCGTGAGGGCAGGGGACTGGACGTGATGACCTTTTACAGTCCCTTCCAGTTCTGTGATTCTATGATAAGAGGCACATTAATGAATCCAGCCAACTAAACAACAGGTCCAGAAAAAAAAGCAATGATGAGTGAGATGGATACATATGAACAAAGAAGTCAAATAAGAATTAACTCCATGTTCTTTTACATTTTTTTCTATGAATCATACACAGAATTGCACCAAAAGACTATGTTAAAACAACAGGAGCTAGTGCTCTCTCTGGGAGTGGGGCCAGCAGCCAGTGCAAGTTGGGAGCTGCCATGCATCTGCAGAATCCACAGGGGCTTCCCGGGAGGGCAGAGTTTAACCGGTAGGAAAAACTGATTAGCATCAGCTTGAGAGTTTAACCAGTTAAACGTTTGCATCCTTACTCTAAAGCTTAGGAGATGCCAGAGTTAAGGTTAATTGTGTAATACTTGCATGTATGCGATCATATAATTAAAAAGAAAAGCCTATGCATTTGCACAAGGAGGCCAAAATAAGGCTACATAGGTTTTTGTGTTACATATATACGGCCAAGCTTTTCAAAACTGATTAGTCAGTTTGAGTGCCTTGGTATTCGGGTACCTACATCTGAATGGCACCTTGAGGTAGATGTTTAGCATTTTCTGGAGGGAAAACAGTGTCATGTGGATACACACACACAATCAGATTTATATAAAAATTAACAATAGCTGGATTTAGATGGGAGGGGTATTTATTTCATCACATTCTACTACATATGGGGGAAAATACATTTACACTTTGCAGTTAAAAATAAGACTAGCTCTGGTCCAAGAAATGTATCCAGACAGTTATCTTGTTTATGTAAGCAAGACTGATTTGTGCAAGATTGCTCCTGAGAGTTTTACGTCAACAGACATGAAAGTTATTTTCTTTGTTCTCAGAGATAAAAGCCATTGCTCCCTTGTTGTGTAAAAGCTCTCAACAACAGTGGTAAAACATCAAGAAAAAGAAATTCAGTTGGTACCAACGTAAATATTAATAAGAAAACAAAACACATTGTGAGATTAACTGGAGTTGATTTTATGGCCCTGCTGACTTTCAAGATGGGGATCTGATTTTCATTCCACAGCTCAAGCAGCTCGATGGGCTTTACTGCAGCAGAGTAAAATTTGATGAACTCAATATCCCTCCCATCTTAATCCAGCTCTTATTCAACCCAATTAACCTAATGTAACATGAGCTTCTGGGTAGCAGAATGGTCGTGCAAAGCTTTCACATCCAGAGCCTCTCCTGTGATTTCGGGGGCTGTTAAACCCTCTCAGGTTGCTGCAATATTGTTAATTGTCACTTGAAACAAATACGCCCCATTTGTTTAGCTAAAGTCCTGGGTGTCATATTTGGGTCACGGCGGCCCATTGGAGATTATGCTAATGTGTATCCTCTGATTTCATAATCTACCCTGAACAGTGAACAATGCCTCATGGGTGTGCACAGCCCCCTCCCACGCCTCAGCCCCAGTCACCTCACTCACCATAGAATCTAAGGCAGAAACTAAACTGGTGATGATTTCATTTTTCTGAGGAAAAACGGTATTCCACTGGTCAGGTCTGGAGCTGTTGGGGGGTCCGTTGGAGGGCTTCCCAGTCAGTGCCATAGTCACCTGAAAAAAATAAAAGACAAAACAAACGTATACAAATGTGTACGACGGCAGAGGCGGTTGCACCAGGGTTGACCCAGGGAGCTAAAAGTCCAACCGGCTCCAGATAGAGCTAAAGAGGCAGGAAGCAGCAGAGTGTTGTTCGACACAGAGGGAGACACATCACACATGCTGGTCAGTGGGTTACAGAAGCCCAGCACATGGCTACGTAATCCTGTCAGTCTTATTTTGCTGGGAAAATGTTACCTTCAATAAATAAAGACACTTGCTGCATACACGCCCCTTATTGGATTTCCAGTAGCACCTAGAGGCCTCCACCGAGATCAGGCGTTATACAGGTGATCAGACCGCATGATCACAAGGGTCCCTCTTGTCTTTATAATCAGTGAAATGGGCTAAGTGCTGAACCCAAAAACAAGACAATTGCTGGCCAGAAAAGCTTACAGTCTAAATTGACAAGACAAGGCAGAAGGAAGCACTAATGGAAAAGGGACTTGCCCAAGGTCATGTAACAAATCTGTGGCATGCTTAGGACTAGAACCCAGGTCTTCTGAGTCCTAGGCCAATGCCATTGGGCCATGTCGAGGGAATATTGTCCGTGTATACCTCATTACTTGAAATTCCTGAAAATTACAGTGGTGTGTTTAATAGCTTTTTACTGTTATTAAAGGGACACAAGGAACCTCATGACAGAAAAAGCACAAGTGGGAAAGGAAATACCACACTGCCCAAATTAAGAACACGATGGAACTCGTTATTTGGGGTTGGGGTGAGAAGGGGAAAGGAGTAGAAGCAGCAATTAGCATTTGTGATCCAGACGCCCGACTGTGACTGAGAAAGGTTGATCTCCTCCAGTGGAAAGCGTTAGCAAGCAGTTCTGTTATCGTGAGATGCCGACTGTCAGATGAAACTGAATGAGTCAGTTAAACCAAGCAAAACTGGGTCGCCTTACTCCTTTGCTGAAGTACAATGTGTCAGGCAATCAAATCTGTACTCCCCACGAGTTCGTTCATCTGCTAAAAACCTGCTCGGTGTCTTTATTTTCCTTACCACCCTGGCCTAGATTTTACAAAAAAAAATTAAAACTCCCACCTTCCCTTTCATATGGTAAGAAACGGGGTCCAGGCACCACTGCATGTAAGCAAGCCAACTGAAAAGAGAAGCTGTTACAAAACCTGGGGCGCGAGAGGTCTATATGCAGAGCATTTTGCTTCCATCAAAGACAGAAAATCAAAATCACTACAGAATTTTGCAACCACAGTCCAACCCCCGGAGCCCACGTGGTGCACCCGGTAGGACACAGCGCCACCAAACTTAGCTGCTCAGCTCCCATCATGTCCTGCACTGTCTGCTCAATACGGCATCACGGGGCCAGGTTGGCTGCTCTGTCAAGCTCACCCTTGCTGCAGCGGTGCATGATGGATCTCAGGAAGGCAGATTATAGCTCCCTGGGTCTGTGCCCAGCTCACCATGGAGATTAGTGCAATCTAGGGGCTGCTCTAACCTTTGCCTACTAGCAAGTCTCCCATCTGAGCACATTATGCACCAGGCACTCCTCCCCGACTGTCTCCTCTTCCTACACCAGGCCTCTGGAGCTTCATCATGGAGTCCCAGAGAGGAGAATACAGCAGCTCTCGGCTCTCTTTGTGTGGCCTGGGTGCACAAGACAAGGGGAATAACGTGCAGAGGATCTATCTTCTTGCCACCCTCCCATACACAAAATGTAACAAGCAGCTCCATGACAGATGCTTGGATCCATTGAACCAAACATTCCTCGATCCACACGTGCAGCGCTACGGAACTGCATGACCGAAACATGCACAAAAGGGGACGAGGGACCGATCTCCTGGCTAGACTTGGCTTTTCGACGTGGTAACCCCTACATTGATTTAGGGAGCCAGCTGCTGCCTCCCACATATCCTCCGAACTATATGAGTCACCGTTGCCACATTGAATTATGGAACGGAGAGAACCCTTCTGTGAATCATTAGGTTAATACACAGTTCCGAAAACCTCATCGGGGGAGGAAGGGAACGGGAGAGGGCGGAATAAAAATATAATGGCAAATACGACCAGGAAGCTGTTTGTATGTTAGCACCAAGAAGAGAGCATCAGGCTGCCCAGTGCGAACGAATCTTCCTGTAGGAATTGGGCTGCCATTTCGTTTCTCCTTCCCGCTGTTGCCTTTGTCATGTGACAAACTTTTCCTGAGGAGGGTCCTAGCAGTGGGTCTCTGTGACATTTGCTCCCAAACAAAGAAAGCTCTTATAGCGAGAGACTCTGCAGTGAAATAATTGCACACTGCCAGGCCAATTTCAGTATACAACAAGGTTCTTTCATGATTAGACAGGGGATAAAAGGAAATTACCATTATGCTTCAACATACAGCTGGAACGTGCAAAAAGAAAGGGATTTTTTTTTTAAGTGCCACCTTAAAAGAGTCAACTCCTTAAAAAATTGTGACAAGATTTGATTTGAATAGAATTCTATTCAGTTCTTCCTCCAAGAAAGCTCCGTGACAGCATGAGCAAAATGCAAAGCAGAGGTGTAGTCGGAGGGGTGAGCAGACCAGAACTCTTCCTCCGGTCGCAGCGGGGGAAAGGAACATGGTGCCGGTTCTACTTACCCACGGGGTCGCAGGCTTAATTTTACAGCAGCAGCTCGGGCGGGTTATTTTGGTCCCATTCGCTAATGTGACGGCACAGGGATTGGGGGCTATTCCCTGAAGGTCCCTATCGGGTGCAGATTCTTCAAAGGAGGTCAGCTTCTATGTAGGCCCCACTGAAAGGGGCTGGATTTCCAGCACCCCTGGGGCTTAGAACGCCCGACACCCTGTCCTGAGCCGGGCCCTCTGGAAAATCGGACCCTTTTACGGGTCTCTAAAAGGGGAGCAAAATCAATGGTGGAATCTGGCACAGACTGTGGCAGTCAGTGTGTCTTGAGCTGCAAAGAGGGGCTAAGACAAAGGAAAGTCCTTTCTTCATCAGACCCAGCAGCAGCGTCCCCCTTCCAATCCGACAAAGGTAGCTCTCGAAGCAGATGAGAACAGAACCAAAATCCCTCTCCACGAAAGATACCTGGCATGCCAGAATAATGCTGTTGCTCCAGACAGCCTCTCAACCCACTGCTTTGCCAACATTCATCAGCGTGGCCGCACACCACGGCTGGGTGGATGCATGACCCCTGTATTTCTACCTAACAGATGCAGATGCTGAAGAACAGTAACCTGCCCGAAGGTTCAGTGGCAGAGATGGGCCCAGACCCCTGAATTCCTGTCTGCTGGTCACACGCTAGCTACTAGGGAACGCTTCCTACCCAGAAACTCCAGTTCCATCAATGCCGCGTTAAATACACAAAACCACGAACAAAGGAGAACATCCACCACCTCCAGTAAAACCAGCCCTGAAAGTCAGGGGCAGCAGCACCCAGACCTCTCGTTTTAACCTCCCTCTTTCAACTGCACCAGAGGTGAGTTGCAATGAGGTTTTTCTCCAGAGAGGAGGGATTTTTTTTTAAATAAATTACTTTAAAAGCCCTTTTGTACCACTACAAACTTGTGATTAAAATCCACATGAAATTGTCCTCAAGTCGCGAGCCCAAGAAGCCATTTCAACGGAACAGTCGCTTGACCCCAGTCTACGTAGCTGCAACATCGCCTCCCCTCCCCCTAACTATCCTCTCTCGTTTGCTAGACAAACGTCAACTCCCACCTCCCTAGCCCAGGATGCGGGCCTCCGTCACCCACCCATAAGCTCCATGCAGGCCTTCATGCTCCCGTGCTGCCCTGCCTGCTCCCCGAAAGCACCCGAACGTGCTCTGAGTCTGACACATTCCTTGCCAAGGAGGCTATAAAAACATGCCAGCAGGTAGGCCGCTGCCTGCCACACTGACCAGTATCACCTCGTGCATTATTTCCTTGAACTCCTCCAGTTCGTGTCTCTTGTTTTGGGCTTAGACCATGAGCTCTTGGGGGCCGGGCTGGCTTTTCGCTCTGTGTTTGTACAGCATACAGCTCCCCGAGCTTCTGGTCCATGACTGGGGCTTCCTAGGCTCTATGATAACACACGGATAAGTTCTTGGAGGCAGTATGCACAGGGTAAAAGAGAGATGCAGCAATCTCCATATGACCTATATGGAGGGTTGTATCATAATCTAGTCATACAAACCTGAATATCCTTGCCCCACCCTCTGCTACATCCCTTCTTCAAGGCTCCACCTCCTTCTTCAAGGCCCCGCCCACTCACTCCATCCCCCTTCCCTCTGCTGCTCGCTCTCCCCCATCCTCACTCACTCCCACCAAGCTGGGGCAGGGATTAGGGCGCAGGGTGCAAGCCTGGGAGGGAACTTGGGTTCAGGAGGGGCGCAGGGCTGGAGGCAGAGGATTGAACATGCGAGGAGCTGGCTCTGGAAGGGAGTTTAGGGCTGGGGCAGAGGGCTGGGATGCAGGAGGGGGTTTGGGCTCTGTGCCTGCCCTGGCCACCCCACTCCCAGAAGCAGCCAGCACATCCCAGCAATCCCGGGGGTGGGGGGAGCAGGTGCCACTGCACTCGACCCTTGCCTGAAGGCCACGCCCCCACAACTCCCATTGGCTGCTTCCAGGAACGGCATGGAGGAGGGAGGACAGGATAGGCGGGAGCAAGACTGCAACATCCATGCACAACTGGGAAAGGGGAGCTAAGGATCCGGTTAATCATTCACCCCACAGTGTCTCAGGAAGGTCTTGGACACAAGAAGGGTGGTTTCACCGATTTGGGGAACAGATGCTCGCTGCTGTGCTTTCACCCCACCCCAGATCCAACCCAATGAGACCTTATTTGGGGGTTGGAAAAATTAGTTCTTTTCAGGAGTCTCCTGTTTGGCATGTGGTTAAACCCTTCTCGGATAATAGCCTACAAGCAGAAGTCTCTCTCTGTGTCTGTCTCTGACTCGCTCTCGTCATTGTGGCACAACCAAATGCAGGGGGTACCAGAACTCACCAGAGACCTACTCTTATAGCCCATATA